TTCGAGGGAGAGAATCGCATCCCGAACATGCTTGTATTGTTGCTTAGAGTGGTCAGAAGACTCTGCATTTTGTCAGCGTCTTCACCAAATAAAACTATGTCATCTGCATATTCTAAGTCAACAAGTGAACCTCCTGGTAGAAGTTCAACCCCTGTAAATTTAGATGAGGAGAGTGTTATCTCTAAAAGTACGTCAATGACAAAGTTGAACAAGAATGGGGAGAGTGGACAGCCCTGACGAACACCACTTGAGGTGATCAATTCTGATGACAGTTCGCCATAAGCTCTCACTCTACCAGTTGTGTTCGAGTAGAGAGCCTTTATAAGGTTAATGTACTTCTTTGGTATTCCTTTCAGTGACAAACACTGCCATAGAACCTCACGATCAACGGAGTCGAATGTCACCTTAAGGTCGAGAAATACTACCATTGTGGGGCGTCTGAATGTGTGTCTGTGTTCTAGAACCTGACGTAGTGTGAATATCTGATCTATACAACCACGTCCAGGTCGAAAACCAGCCTGGTTTTCTCTAGTCTGCTCTTCACGAGCTTTAGTTAGGCGTCGAAGTATTATTGAGGCCAATATTTTAGACACTATATTAGTCAAACTGATTCCTCTGTGATTGTCACAAGAGGACTTTTGTCCTTTCTTATAGACTGGCACAATCAGTGATTGAGACCAGTCAGATGGGATTACGTCCTGTTCCCAAATTCTACTTAAGACCTCAGTTAATCTCATTGCTAATACTGGACCACCATCCTTAAAAATCTCAGGAGTAAACCTGTCAGGGCCTGCTGCTCTCCCTCGTTTCAGATTTCCTATGGCTTTTTCAACTTCGTAAAGGGACGGAGGACTTACATTAACTTGCCATTCAGGTTGACTGGAGATCGTGGGAAACCGAAGTGTGGCTGAAGGCCAGTTGAACTGATCCCTAAAGTGTTCTGCCCATCGATCCAATCTCCTGGATTGAGAATGAATAATATGTTCATCTTTCTCTGAGATTGTTTCGCTAACGGTCGGGTTCCTAATACCGGTTTCCTTAACGAGTCTAAACAATTGTCTGCTATTACCTATTGCCGCTGCCTTTTCCATCTCTCTTGCTTTCGCTACCCACCACTGTTCGCGATCATTGCGTAGACTTCTTGTCAGCTTGCGCTTAAGTTGACTCCGCTCTTCATTATGTTCAGAGCCAGGTGGAATTAGTTTTCGAGCATCTATCAGTGTGATAGATGCTGCTGAGATCCAGTGTTGCTCCCTAACTTTACGGTTTACCTTACTAGCAGATATCACTGCTGTTTCCACAGCTTTTCGGATATCGTTCCATGCTGCCTCGGGGTGGGTATCACATACATGGCTGCCTAACTGTTTTCCTAGTTGTTCCTGAAATATATTCTTAGCTTGACTATCATTAAGTAGGGCCCTAAGAGGTTTCCTTGCAGGATCTTTCCTACGACCAGTAAGACGCAAGCAAATACGCGCTCGTACTAGAGCATGATCTGAATCTAGGCATGTGCTCCAGAATGAGCGACAGTCTTTTATCGAGCCCCTCCATCGGTGGCTGATAGCGATGTGATCTATTTGGGTCCAACGTTGGGATGAATTAGGGGGTCGCCATGTTAAAAGATGTTTTTCCTTATGCCTAAAGTTAGTATTTACAAGGAACAGGCGGTTATCTGAGCATAGCTGCAACAGACGGTCGCCATTATCTGTTCCTTGAGCCACGGTGCTATAGGATCCACCTAGGTGTCTTTCCTTATCGCTTAGTTTACCTACTTGAGCATTAAAGTCACCGGCCACTATTACTACATCCGAGCGCTTAGCTTTTCGGAGAAGGTCGGAGAGCTTTCTGTAAAACTCATCTTTCACATCATCTGAGCTGCAGTCAGTGGGAGAATAAGCAGAGACGACGAAGAGGCAACGACGAGTGTCCCTATCTTTCCGGATTCTTACTGTTCCGTTCAGTCGGACAGCGCACAAACGACTGTTTACTGGGATCCACTCTAAGAGAGCTAGTTCTGCCCTAGGACTCAATGCTATACCTACGCCGGCGAGGCCACGGGAAGCAGAATCAGGGCTTCCAGATACACGAAGCGTAAATCGAGTCGGTTCTTTATTTTGGCATGGTGAGGTCAAATGAATGACGCTACTCGGATCTTGTATGCGCGTTTCGGAGACGCAGCACACATCGATGGCGCGAGATTCTAAAGTCCTAGCTAAGGAAGCCTGCTGTCCTATATGGCACAGTGTTCGTACGTTAAAAGCTCCTACGTGTAGTTTAGAGCGTGGTTTCAGGAGACCAGGAATGGCGTTCCACGTACTCGAATCGTTTGCCCTAGCGGTGCGAGGTGATAAAGAGACGTGAGGAGGGTTAGTCGGGAGGATAAGAGAGGTATTAGGAGGTGTAGGAAGGATTTGAATGTGACCACCTTGGTCTCTTGTGCTGTTACGGGTATGAGGGCTGATGTCACTTCCCGGCTGCCCACACCGTGGAAGGGTATTTCTTGAGGAACCTGAAAAGAAAATTGGATTAGTGTTGGTCTTGACGACCCGGGAGCGTGACCGCAGAGCCCAAGGGACAACTGCTTGAGGCCGGTCGCACACGGCCTTTTCGTGGAAGGTTTTTGACGTGTTAGCTCCGTTCTTCAAGGGGCCTTACCGCCGGAGACGGAAATCCGTGAGGTAAGGTGAGGTGTGCATTTTTAGGGTCGACCTTTTCTAACCCCACCCCTCCTTGTGGGAAGGCAGCATCGCTGTCATGCTGGTTGTCCGAGGGAAACACCTTACTGCTGTCACACCTCTCTACAGTCAGCAGTACGACTTCGCCCTCAGACCTTGAGTTGCTGCTTTTAGTCTTACCGTTCGCCAATCGACCTGCCTGGCATGGTAGAACCTGCAGGAACATATGTTCCAGCCAATATAGCTCGGTTGGGTCATCACGATAGGCAAGCCCGACCACCGCGTCAAGGTAGCAGCTTCGATCGGGGGAATCAGTCAGTCAGCTACTAAGTAAAACCAGGCCCATATATGCATCGGTGCAAGTTGCCACACCTCATTAGCACAACAAGATGAACACCTACTACATGGAAGCAGTTACTTTAATGGTGATTGTAGGTCTATGATGAAGTGAACTTGGAATCCTTAAGCGAAACGGAAAAGAGGAAGACCGGGAAACACACTGCGTCGGAATTGGATGCACAAATCAAAAGAGGGAAGTGAGTGGAAACAACTGGAAAGGATTGCCCAGAACCGAGTTCGATGTAGAAACGTGGTAAGCGGCCATAACATAAGATTAACGTCTCATAAGTAACTCAAATTATTCTCGCTCAACTATGTACAAAGCCTGCAGGTAGTTCGGAAAAAGAAGAGTAGTTGTAAAGAGTACGCGACGAAAGCACTGGAGAAAGCAGAAACAACAAACACGTTAGCTGTTTACTTTGTTGTATTTTGTAAGTGGAATCATTTGATTTATGTAGTGCAAAATTCTTTATGAAAATGAATGTCTAACTCATTAAAAAATCCAGGAATGTACTAAGCTGAACAGACGGCACGTTATCAGCCTACACTTCACTATCACATTAGGAAAAGTATGGGTGAATAAAACAAAATGAATTCGGATTCGCCTTGATTTACGGAATGTACTGAAATTATGTGAAGGCTCGGGCTGCATTACGAATTGGTTAGTTTTTAGAAATCCTATTCAACAAATCTAAAGTAATATACTCATCAAAAGTTTGAACGCTACACGCCAGATCGTGTCAGAGGTCCGAAATTGCTGATGACAAGTTCACCATTTGAATTGGGATGGGTGGTGACCAATATACATAAATTCCAAGAACTTATTAAAATAAGTTTAGCCAGCAATTAGAGGCTAAAGAGTAGTTATAACAACTAGTCACAAACTTAGTGTTATTCAGTGAACATAGTTATCACTTTTCCCCGAAAAAATTAGTCACAAAAGCACCACACAACTGGTTTATAATTTTTTCACATATTTCAACAAAAAGTTAGCATGAAAATGGTGGAATTCCAAACGTTTTAGGTTTGATTGAATTTAACAAAAAATATTTGAAGCAACTATAGAATGACTAAGATGTTTTGCCTCTCATAAATGATTATCTGTTTGTTATGAGCAGCATAGACGCTGCAGTATATGCGACAGCCATAGTATCAATAGCAACAGTATACGTAGTAGTAGAAAATCTTAGCTGTAAGTTATGTAATTTGAGAAAATATGAATTGGTGGAAAAATTTTTTAAGATGGACAGGAAACTTAGCATTCCAAGAAAGATGTGGAGTGAATGCACCTGTTATTATGAACGATTCCAAATCATGTTACCCAAAGTCTAACCATTAGTTAAGATAATCGCGAGGACCTCAACTAAACAGTTCATACATACGTACATGGCTTCGTTAAACAGTCAATGACTTCACGAACTGATTCCATATTTTAATTTGGCTGACATAGTCTTCTTCCAACCTACTCCTACAACAGCCATCGCGTGTCAAGGTAGACGGTGGGTGACCATATGTAGTACACGTTTCAACAGTCTCAGTTGATATATGTACCAAGTTTTCATACATATAAAGTACCCTGAGCCTAACAACAGCACTGTTCGTCCAGTAGTTACAACATACACTCAGAAGGGATTTGTGACCAAATACTAGTAGCTTACGAATACATTCTCTTCTTAAACTCCACGTCTTATAGTATGTGATGCGAAATCTGAAAAGTAGGTCTAACAGACAGCTATTAATTGACTGAAGAATGGTGCACATGGGGTCCAGTATCCTGAATGAACAAATGGCGTATGGACCAGTCGCTGGTCACCGACTACCATGGGACTGCATCTCCTGACGTTGCTCCACTCCTTTATGGATCAGCCCTTTAGGTCAAAAGCTGCGGGCGTGACCTATTAAGGAAACCACCCACTTCGGTTTAGGCATCTGTACAGTATCCCAGCCCTCACACAAATCGAATGATTTATGTGGCGCATGTATTTGGTGCCTCCTTGTACCAATGTTTATTTGTTTAAATAATAAAATAATAATAAATACTGAATGACCTACAAGATAATTCCTTCTAATTGCCTATGAAGTTATATCATGTTTATTTGGTGTACGCGAGAAAACCCATTCATCTGCTTAGTGGTGGTGGTTTTAATTTCACATCATTTAGAATCTCAAATCAACCATTTGTTCCAGTGAGAATTCATTACTAAACCATATATCATTGTATTCGTCTATCGACTAGCATTCTATCCATTGATTTTAACAATAGGAAAATTTAACAAATCATCAAAAACACACGAAACACGGTCACACAGTAAAACAGAGCTGACTGCTGTGGAGTATACTTGTCTTTTGGTTTGTAAACGGATATCTAGCATACATCACAAGTAACATACGTTTGCAAAAGCCGAGTGAGATCTCTGAATCTATATCAAGGTTTCATCAGATACCAAAAATACTCTAGGGCTGACGGGACTTTCAAACCAAGTAGTGAACGTATTCAGGTACTTCAATTCCTATTAACAATTTAGGCAGCAATGCAGATTGGTATTAAAGCAAAATTTTGTATTTCGAGGATGTGAAATACATGTTAAACACGTTTGCATTGCAGTTCAAGACAATCAGGATATATTTTGTCGTCTTCACTAAACATGGCTGGCTTATCTGCGTATTCTAACTACATCACCGACTCCCCCATTAGATCTACTTCAAAAAAGTCAGACGAGTAAAATGAGATTCCTAGGAGGACTTTTAGGAGAGAATTGGGTTATTGCGCAATCCTGACTTGAGGTTCACAAGTTTGATGACACTTTGCCATAAGCTGTAATCCAACTACTAGCATACAAAGTACAGCATTCAAAAGATTTATGTTTTTCTTCGTTACACCTTTTAATGAAACAAAACTACAAAATTTTCCGGTTAACGGAATCTTATCCTGCCGTCTTAATATTTATATACAAATACAATCCGAATAGTCCATGTTTTTTTAAGGTGGACGAGAAATCAACAAGCTAATTATCTAGTCAAAACTGAGCCTCAATAATAGAACAGCTATATTAGTCAACATCCGAATCAAAGCTGTTACAACTGAGCTAACCTACAGCCAATAAAAGTTTAAGTAAGCTTAACGAAACTTACTAATACAACCATGCTGAAAAAACTGAATGCAATAGCAGTCCGCGGTCCATTAGGTGAAACGTCGTTCTGAGTGAGAAAATCTTGTTCTGTATTTTGCCAGCGGTTGCAAAGTAAGCAAAACGCAATCAACCATAGGAAGGACCAAATACCTATAAAATCCAAAGGCACCGGATTAATAGGCTGAGGTTTATATATAATAAAGCTCCGATCCCAACTGCAAAACTTGGAAAATGCCAGCTGAATAAAATGACACTTAATTTATATTACGGAAACACTTATGCTTTAAAGGAGAATACAACGGGTCGTAAACAAATGATACACAAGCCAACAAAATTTTTCTAGGTATATAAAAAATAGACTTACTTTTGCGACGTCAACTTTGTCCACTCACTCACTGATTATTATGTAGTTACTAACTAAGTATTTATTTGCACTAGAGTGGTATAAATTGTTTCATAAAAATAACCGTCTATGACCTGCTTATAAATGAAAACAAAGCAAGCCCCTGAATTAAAAAGTGACAAACTCGTAACTTTTTCATATTCAGTAACTTTGTTCACAAATTTGAAATGGCAAGTATTTTATTATGAGCATCAAAAACAGAGTAGGATCAATCCACGCTATACACAGAGAACATATGCCAACGGAAAGCTATTCTTCTGTAAAAGTAAACACTCTAAGAATGCTGATAGGGTGAAGGTATGACAACAAGAATTTAAAAAAAAGACAAAACATCGTAAAAGGAGACTCATTTTAAGCTAGATGGGCAAGTAACCATTTAGTCTCATCATGGATGATTTAGTCAATAAGATGAGGATATTTTATAAGAGATAGAAATCTCAGTATCTTAAAATGATTGTATTTATTATAATTTTCTGCAGTAATACGAGATTAGATATCATACTGAAGGCTGATAATCACCCCGCAAATCTTTGAAATGATACTGACTTCCAGAGAAAATGGAGAAATACTAAAGTCACTAGTGAAACTAAGTTGTAACTCCAATGTGATTTACGCATATTCGGAAACATTGATAACATTATATTGAAATGTTTATACCCTAGCAACACATCCTAGTTAGATAATGCTAAGTTTTGAGACATACTTTCTAAGTATAGTTACAACCGAAATATTTCTTAACTCAGTTTTCTTTTGACATTTGAACCTGAAATATTTTCTGAAAGTATTCATATTAGTGACAGGAGATACTAAATCTGCAAAAACTGGATTTATATAAACTATTGCACTAAGTCCTTATCACATGGAATTGTTACATCGAATATTCAAACAGAAACGTGATGAGTTTGTATTATTGTGTAAAAGCGTTTGTGGTCCTTAAACCCAAATGCTTTAATTAATTTATTTGAACACATAAATATTAGTACAAGGGGGGGCACCAAGTATATGTGCGCCACACAAAACAATGAGAATGGGAACAGAACAAAGAAGGTAAAGTGCGTATAGTAAAAAAAAGAACAATAACGACCACATATTAGTGTAAGATAGTGTAGTAATAATAATGGGGGAAACGGAAAGGTACAACCAGAAGAAATCTTTCGGTTAAGGAAGATACAACCACGTTTTATGAAGAAAGTAAAGGAAGGTTACAGCAGGATCGCCACTGGCTTCTGTTATGAGCTATATCTGATAACGTCTCTAGCCACTGTGTTCCATCATCTCTCGGACCCCAACCAGGGAGTCATGAAGGACCAACAGAAGCCAGTCCTTTGCAGCTTTTTTTCATAACACGACACCATGTCATATACTGACCACCTCTCCGCTTCTTCCAACCAGTCCCAGAGTCGGCAAATAATGCACAATGTGGAACTCTCTGTGACGACATTCGTAGAACATGTCCAAACCACCGAAGTCGATGTTTGAAGATGGTGACACGAATAGAATTATCGTCTCTGTCCGAACACACGATGCCGAACCTCTGCATAACTAAAATGATGTTGCCACTGGATGTCAGCGATCCTTCGGAGACAACGATGATCAAACAGAGAGTCCCAACCGAAGCTGCTAACTTGACGCGGTGATCGGGCTTACCTATCGTGATGACCCAACCGAGCTATATTGGCTGGAACATATGTTCCTGTAGGTTCTACCATGTCAGGCAGGTCGATTGGAGACTAAAAGCAGCAACTCAAGGTTTGAGGGTGAAGTCGTACTGCTGACTGTAGAGGTGTGTGACAGCAGTAAGGTGTTTCCCTCAGACAACCAGCATCCGCAGCGATGCTACCTTCCCACAAGGAGGGGTGGGGTTAGAAAAGGTCTACCCCAAAAATGTCACACCACACCAAACCTCACGGATTTCCGTCTCCGGCGGTAAGGCCCTTTGAAGAACGGAGCTAACACATTAAAAACCTTCCACGAAAAGGCCGTGCGCGACCGGCTTCAAGCAGTTGTCCCTTGGGCTCTACGGTCACGCTCCCAGGTCGTTAAGGCCGACATTAATCTGCCTTCTTTTTCAGGTTCCTCGAGAAATACCCTTCCATGGTGTGGGCAGCCGGGAAGTGACACCAGCTGTCATACCCGTAACGGCACACGAGACCAAGTTGGTCACATTCAAATCCTTCCTACACCTCCTAATACATCTCTTATTTCCACGACTAACCCTCCTCACGTCTCTTTATCACATCGCACCGCTAGGGTAAACGATTCGAGTACGCGGAACGTCGTTCCTGGTATCCTGAAATCACACTCTAAACTACGCGTAGGTAAAGCATTGAGTCCTAGAGCAGAACAAGCTTTCTTAGAATGGATCCCAGTAGACGGTCGTTTGTGCGCTGTCCGACTGAACGGAACAGTAAGGATCCGAAAAGGTAGGGACATCCGTCGTTGCCTCTTCATCTTTGCCTACTCTCCCACTGACTGCATCTCAGATGATGTAAAAGATGAGTTTTACAGAAAGCTCTCCGACCTTCTCCGAAAAGCTAAGCGCTCGGATGTAGTAATAATGGCCGGTGACTTTAATGCTCAAGTAGGTAAACTGAGCGATAAGGAAAGACACCTAGGTGGATCCTATAGCACCGTGGCTCAAGGAACAGATAATGGCGACCGTCTGTTGCAGCTATGCTCAGATAACCGCCTGTTCCTTGCAAATACTAACTTTAAGCATAAGGAAAAACATCTTGCAGCATGGCGACCCCCTAATTCGTTCCAACGTTGTACCCAAATAGATCACATCGCTATCAGCCACCGATGGATGGGCTCGATAGAAGACTGTCACTCATTCTGGAGCACATGCCTAGATTCAGATCATGCTCTAGTGCGAGCGCGTATTTGCTTGCGTCTTACTGGACGTAGGAAAGACGCTGCAAGGAAACCTCTTAGGGCCCTACTTAATGATAGTCAAGCTAAGAATATATTTCAGGAACAACTAGGAAACGAGTCAGGCAACCATGTAGGTAAAGCCCACCCCGAGGCAGCATGAAATGATATCCGAAAAGCTGTGGAAACAGCAGTGATATCTGCTAGTAAGGTAAACCAGAAGGTTAGGGAGCAACACTGGATCTCAGCAGCATCTATCTCACTGATAGATGCTCGAAAACTAATTCCACCTGGCTCTGAACATAATGAAGAGCGGAGTCAACTTAAGCGCAAGCTGACAAGAAGTCTACGCAATGATCGCGAACAGTGGTGGGTAGCGAAAGCAAGAGAGATGGAAAAGGCAACAGCAATAGGTAATAGCAGACAATTGTTCAGACTCGTTAAGGAAACCGGAATCAGGAACCCGACCGTTAGCGAAAAAATCTCAGAGAAAGATGAACATATTATTCATTCTCAATCCAGGAGATTGGATCGATGGGCAGAACACTTTAGGGATCAGTTCAACTGGCCTTCAGCCACATTTTGGTTTCCCACCATCTACAGTCAACCTGAATGGCAAGTTAATGTAGGTCCTCCGTCCCTTTACGAAGTTGAAAAAGCCATAAGAAATCTGAAACGAGGGAGAGCAGCAGGCCCTGACAGGTTTACTCCTGAGATTTTTAAGGATGGTGGTCCAGTATTAGCAATGAGATTAACCGAGGTCTTAGGTAGAATTTGGGAACTGGACGTAATCCCATCTGACTGGTCTCAATCACTGATTGTGCCAGTCTATAAGAAAGGACAAAAGTCCTCTTGTGACAATCACAGAGGAATCAGTTTGACTAATATAGTGTCTAAAATATTGGCCTCAATAATACTTCGACGCCTAACTAAAGCTCGTGAAGAGCAGACTAGAGAAAACCAGGCTGGTTTTCGACCTGGACGTGGTTGTATAGATCAGATATTCACACTACGTCAGGTTCTAGAACACAGACACACATTCAGACGCCTCACAATCGTAGTATTTCTCGACTTTAGGGCGGCATTCGACTCTGTTGATCGTGAGGTTCTATGGCAGTGTTTGCCACTGAAAGGAGTACCAAAGAAGTACATTAACCTTGTAAAGGCTCTCTACTCCAACACAACTGGTAGAGTGAGAGCTTATGGCGAACTGTCATCAGAATTGATTACCCCAAGTGGAGTTCGTCAGGGCTGTCCACTCTCTCCATTCTTGTTCAACTTTGTGGTCGACGTACTTTTAGAGATAACACTCTCCTCATCTAAATTTACAGGGGTTGAACTTCTACCAGGAGGTTCACTTGTTGACTTAGAATATGCAGATGACATAGTTTTATTTGGTGAAGACGCTGACAAAATGCAGAGTCTTCTGACCACTCTAAGCAACAATACAAGCATGTTCGGGATGCGATTCTCTCCCTCGAAATGCAAAATGTTGCTTCAGGATTGGGTTACATCGACACCCGAACTAGTGATAGGGAGTGAAGTAGTTGAGCATGTCGACCGCTTCACTTATCTTGGAAGTCTCATCAGCCCTTGTGGTTTAGTGTGTGACGAAATCTCAGCACGGATACAGAAAGCTCGACTAGCTTTTGCCAACTTGTGTCATTTATGGCGTAGGCGAGATATCCGTCTATCAACCAAAGGACGTGTTTACTGCGCAGCAGTTCGTCCCGTCCTACTTTATGGCAGTGAAACATGGCCGGTAAGAGTAGAGGATATCCGTAGGCTACTAGTATTTGATCATAGGTGTCTTCGAAACATTGCTCGTATATCCTGGGACCATCGAGTAACACAATTGTTAGGAAACGGGTACTAGGTAAGGATGGCAAATCAATTGATGAAGTAGTGAAACTTCATCAGTTGAGATGGCTGGGACATGTGTTACGTATGCCCAACCACCGACTGCCTCGACGTGCTATGTTCAGTAGTATAGGAGTAGGTTGGAAGAAAGCTAGGGGTGGCCAAACCAAAACATGGCACAAGTCCATGAAGTCACTGACAAGTGAACTGAGTCATGTTGGTGGGTGTAGACTACCTGGTTGGGGACCGCGAGATGATAGCAACCGAAAGTTAGAGACCCTGAATGACATGGCTCAAAATCGTTTGCAATGGCGCGGGTGCATCCACTCTTTGTGTTCTCCCAAATTTTGATCTCCTTATTCCTCCTTGTCTCTACTTTTTCTCTTTACAAAGTTATTACCACTGCGGGTTTTGAATCGACCACTGCATCTCTGTGCTAATGTGGTGGCAACTTGAACTGGTGTACGTACGAAGTTCTACGTTGTTACTGACTGACTGACTGAAACACAGAGAGTCGTCTAACATCCTCAACTCGGAGAGGTCAGGTTTCACAAGCATAGAACAAAACTGCTCTCACCGACGCGTTGTAGATCCGACCTTTTACAACCAGACTGACATCACGAGGGCGCCAAAGGTGGCCTAAATTGGCATAAGCCGCTCTGGCTTTCACTATACGTGCATTGATCTCATCACTGACCCCAATACCAGCACTTATGCAGCTACCCAAATACACAAACTTCTCGACTACTTCTATCTGCTCACTATACAGGGTGAGTACAGGATTAGAATCCTGCCAGTCTTGTAGAAGTACTTTTCACTTAGAAGGTGCAAAGCACATACCATACTTACGGACACTGATTGCCAACTGATTAAGTGCGGATTGCATGCCTTGGGCATTATCGCACAGAAGACAATATCATCTGCATACTCAAGGTCGAGAAGTCTTTCTCCAGGCAACAGATCCACACACCCATCATAGCTGTTTCCAGAATGTCGATAGCAAAGTTGAAGAGGAATGGTGAGATTGGGCAACCCTGTCTAACCCCACTGCTCGAATGGAACAATGGAGAGAGGTGGTTGTATGCCATCACTGTGCCTGAGGTGTTTGTATATAGGGCTTTTAGGATATTAATAAACTTTTCAGGCACACCCTTCTTCAATAGACAATCCCAGAGAACAGTGCTATCCAACGAATCGAAGGCGGGACGTTTCGCGAAGCCGCAAGAGGCTTTACTTGCCATTTTCATGGCGTCATGCAATTGCAACCAATGCTCATCTATACTTTTCGGTGGAATGGTAGCTAGCCTAGAAGCTAGCTCGGTTCGACACTTACTAGCAACAGAAGTTGCAACCAGCTTGCTAACATCAATCCGTTGGTGGCGGTCACTTCGTTGTCCACTGAAAAGTAAGGTAAGATTGGCGCAGACCAAAGCATGGTCAAAGGCCAGACAGGTACTCCAAAAGGAGCGGCAGTCTTGTACACAACCACGCCAGCGGTAGCTGATCGCGATGTGATCAATCTAAGTCCAGGCTTGGGATGCAGAGGGAGGACGCCAGGTGGCACATCGGTGATGACTGTGCCGAAAGATAGTACTAGCCAGAAACAAGTTGTGGTCTGTGCATAGTTGCAGTAGACGGTCCCCGTTATCTGACCTGCGACCAACGAGTCCCCATCGGCCACCTAAACGGTTCTCTTCTGTGCCTAGACGCCCGACCTGAGCATTCAAGTCTCCGGCTAGTACTACAATATCTGTCGAACACACTTTCTGGAAAAGAACAGATAACTGTTAGTAAAACTCATCCTTGATTGCATCCGGGCTGCAATCTGTCGGGGCATAGGCGGAGATGACGAAAAGACATCGTTTCTCACGCCGATTTCTTCTCACTTTGATGGAACTTTCTAATCTAACAGCACATAACCGACTGTTAATGGGGATCCAATCGATTAGTGCTGCCTCAGCTCTAGCGCTTAGTGCGACCCCTACGCCAGCACTAAGCGCTACATACATCCGCCACCTTTTCTTTCGATTTTGCTTTCGTTGCCCGTCACTGCTCACGGACGTTGCGTAGACTTTTGCTTAACCTAGATCTGATTTGCTTTCGAACACGATGATAATCGAAAGCAAATCAGATCTAGGTTAAGCAAAAGTCTACGCAACGTCCGTGAGCAGTGACGGGCAACGAAAGCAAAATCGAAAGAAAAGGCGGCGGATGTAGGTGACCAGACAGCTTTTCAGGATAATAAAAGAAATTGGAAGTCAGAAGTAAAGTGTAGGTGAGACGATTTAGGAAAAAGACGACACTATCATCTGCTCTCAGCCCATATGTATAGAACGAAGTGAGGGAACATTTTAAGGAGTTTGGCTGGCCTTTAGCTACTCTACAGCTACCCACTATTCCCAAACAGCCTAAATGGAAGATTGAAGTAGGTCCCCGACTCTAGCTGAAGTTCAAACGGTTTTAGAACACAGGCATGCTTATCCGCGTCCGACAATGATGGTCTTTCTTGACTTAAAGCAGCATTTGACTCTGTTGACCGAGGTTCTGTGGCAATGTCTGTCATTGAAAGTCGCACCTCAGAAGTACATAAACCTTGTGAAGACTTCACCCGAACACTACTAATCGAGTGACAGCTTATGGCGAACTGACTTCTGATTTTGCAATCTCAAGTGGTATTCATCAAGACTGTCCACTCTCTTCATTTTTGTCCAAATTCATCATAGACATACTGACGGAAATAATGTTCTCGTCGACTGAATTCTCGGGCATTGATCTCCTTCTAAAAGGTCCACCTATCGACTTAGAATACGCAGATGACATAGTCCTGTTTGGTGAAGACGCTGATAAAGTGCAGTCTTCTGGTAGCACCTAGCAACAATGCCAGAATGTTTGAAATGCGCTTCTCTCCCTCTAAATGCAAGTTGTTGCTTCACGACTGGTCTGCGTCAACACCTGAACTAGGGATAGGGAGTGAAGTGGTCGAACACGTCGACAACTTCACTTATCTTAGAAGTGTGATCAGCCTCAATGCGTTATTGTCTGGAGAAATCTCAGCACGGATTCAGAAAGCTCTTTTGGCTTTCGCAAACTTACGCCACCTATGGGGTTGGCGAAATATCCATCTGTCAGTTAAGGGACGAGTATACTACGCAGCAGTTCGTTCTGTTTTACTTTGTGGCTGCGAAACGTGACTATTAAGAGTAGAAGATACTCGTAAGTTACTAGTATTTGACCACAGATGCCTTAGAAATATTGCCAACATCTGTTGGGATCACCGGTTAAGTAATAGTGAGGTTATATGCAGGATATTAGTGAATGATTGTAAATCAGTTAATGAGGTTGTGAATCTTCATTGACTGGGATGGTTGGGCCACGTAGTACACATGCCCAACCACCGACTACCACGACGCGAAATGCTGACTAGGGTTGGAGACAGATGGAAGGTTAGGAGCGGCCAAACCAAAACATGGCATCAGTCCATAGAGTCACTAACTTCTAGGTTGAGTCATGTTGGTAGATACAGACTACTTGGTTGGTGTCTGCGTGACTATCGTAACCAATGGTTGGAGACTCTGGGTAACATAGCTCAGAATCGATCACAATGACGTGGGTGTATACACTTTTTGTCATCCGTCAAACTAAGAGATTAAAATTGCTTTATATCTTTCTTTCTACGAACTAATTCTTCCTTCCCGTACTATATCCTTATAAAAAATCTTTCTTTCATACACTACTACCATTGAAGTGACTACTTCTATGAATTAGGTGTTCATTTTGTTGTGCTAATGAGGTGTGGCAACTTGAACCGATGTATATATGTGCCTGGTCCTATGTTGTAGCTGACTGACTGTAAGGATTAACAATGGTCAACCGACTTATTGTTCTGATTACTGAAGATTAAACTATGTCACTTGTACCCTCGAGGACCACAATTCGTTGAATAGATTAAGAAACAAACGAAGTTGCAGTAATGCTAGCTACCGACCGATGTAACTTAGAACCTACTTGGTTGTTAGCCTAATCTGCGCATACAATGATATGAAGAATGAAGCGCTTTATATGAATCTTGAGCAATAAATTCCGCTGTTGGAAGTCGCTATCAAACACTACAGTCATTTTGAAGTTGTGAATCTTTAAGGGACTTTACTCTTACGTATGTCTGAATAGTCTCACCAGCTAAATCGAGCAATAAACTGGCCGAAAACTTTGACTGAAAGGCAGTGAATTGTTGTTATACCGAGTGCAATCAAAATCTAAGAATTACCTGACAATACTACGTCGAATTTAGCGATTCGCAAACGTATGTCAATGCTCGAAACATTGTCCACTATTAAATCCAACCAAAGATAGGCGAGGCAAAGAATAAATGTTGACGAAGAAAGAAGCAAACTATATCCACAAGATGCCTGATCTTCATTAAACAAGCACTTCCCATAAATATAGCAGCCGTTATGTACAATTGCAATATTGACAACTGCTAATATCTAAATGTATTTATTTTCTTATACATGGAATGAAATTACCACAATAATTAAGCGTAGGATAACCTGTGGCTTTCGAACATAATCTATAGGTTCCAAACGAGCAGTAGTGCACACCCAATCAATGGGAAACATGACTACTCTCAGGGTCAACCAGTTCCCGCCACTGAACAACTGATCTGGAAACTGATTGTTCGAAACAGTTAAACGCACTACACGATTGTGTTTTAATTGTACTTTTATGTTGCATTGACCTGCGTTTTGAGCTTGAAGTTAGCCATAGATCCTCACTTACATCAAATTCAACGTTGAGTTCAATTGTGATTGGGTTGTGTAGGCTACTTCAGTATTGTAGGGAACTTAAGCCAGCTGTCGTAATTTATGCCATAGAGCCTGACCTTCGAGATATTTCCCAGGTGGTTATAAAAATGGTGGACAGTTGGGCGTACTGGTGCGAACACTACCTTTCACACAAATGTGAGTATCGGTGTAGGGCCAGTGAAATGTCACAGAGCCCTAGCCAAATCATCCGGCAGTTGGGTCATTGAATATCAAACAGATCATCGATCCCTGTCAAAGTCAAGGACAACCAACGTTCATCAGTGGATCGTATGTCATGAACTGGTGCATGAGGTGATGATCTCGCTATCTTCTCTGTACTCATTCTTACTGATATATTTCCTTAATAAATTCTTTTGTGTTATACAGTCTTCAAAGCAGCCATAGTACCTTGAAGTATCGAAGGGATAATCCACGTTAGATGTTGACCGCAAAGTGTGACTTCAAAGTTAGCTGTTTTGTCATAACATTCCCGTCTGACTCAAGTAGGCCTCCAATCATTCGACATAGATTATCTACGTTGTTGATCTACATCTGGTTATTCGTACTGTTTCTTATGTTTAATGTTTTAGGTCACATATTTTCAGTTCATGCTAAATTATTCAATGGAGTTTTTCGTTGTAAATCATAAGGACGTTCGTGAAGAATGTCGAAGTTTATCGCTTCTTGACGTTACGTGCTTTGCTGTATTTGTTTTCGTCGTTGTGTTAGTTAATAAATTTTATCGAGAAGGATGATAGTTCGCAATAATTGATTTCGATACCCAGGCGGAGTACGTAACACACATATCTTCTAGATATATTTCAAACCATTTTGTGTTTTATTTCATGCCTTATTCGTCTTACTCTGAACATAATTCTGTTTTTGGCTGTTTATCGAGATTTATGTTGTACACGGACAAATACTTCGGTTTCCTCTGGAATTCGTTTAAGCGTGGATTATTTATGTTGACGTTAGGTAAATAGTAGTGATGTTACTACATGAACCTTCGTCATCTAGGCAAACAGCTTCATATGCAAACTTAACAGTGCGTGAGGTGCCTAAAGCACATCTATCTTCGTCATTATCATTACTTCTCTGTGTTTATGTTTATCATTCTTTTTAGTCAAGTGCTGGCTATCTAGTCGTGATGTAGGAGTCTGCATTTGTATGTGATAGCTTGTCATAATAGAATAGTGAACCAACTTAGCAAAATAGGATAACGGCTGAAATATTATTGATTATTTATCTCACTTTTACTTACTTACTAACGCCTGTTACTCCTCGTGAAGAAGCATAGGCCGCTCACCAGCATTCGCCATCCGACCCTGTCCTGGTCAATCCTTTCCAGCTCCTTTCAGTTGCTATTTATCCTATCTATATCTGTTTTTATTTCCCGACGCAATGTGTTCTTTGGCCTCCCTCTTTTCCGCCTTCCTTCAGGATTCCAAGTTAGGGCTTGTCTCGTGATGCAGTTTGATGATTTGCGTAATGTATGTCCTATCCATTTCCATCGTCTTTTCCTAATTTCTTCTTCAGCTGGAAGCTGGTTTGTTCTCTCCCACAAAAGGCTGTTGCTGATAGTCTCCGGCCAATGGATGTTGAGTATCTCGCGTAGACAGCTATTTATAAATACTAATACTTTCTTGATTGTGGTTGTTGTAGTTCTCCAAGTTTCAGCTCCATACAGTAGAACTGCCTTGACGTTCGTATTGAAGATTCTCACTTTGATATTGGTTGAAAGTTGTTTTGAGTCCCATATGTTCGTCAGTTGTAGGAATGGGACCCTTGCCTTGCCGATCCTCGCCTTTACGTCTGCATCTGAACCTCCTTGTTCATCGATGATGCTTCCTAGGTATGTGAAGGACTCTACATCTTCCAGAGTTTCACCATCAAGAGTGATTGGATTGCTGTTTTCCGCTTTGAATTTGAGGACCTTGGTTTTCCCTTTGTGTATGCTGAGGCTTACTGATGCAGAGACTGCTGCTACACTGGCTGTCTTCATCTGCATCTGTTCGTTTGTACGTGATAGGAGGGCTAGGTCATCTGCGAAGTCCGAATCGTCTAATTGATTCTGAGCTGTCCATTGTATTCCGTGTTTTCCTTCAGATGTCGATGTCTTCATAATCCAGTCGACCACCAGAAGAAAGAGGAAGGGAGAGAGTAGACAGCCTTGTCTGACTCCGGTCCTTACTTGGAACGCATCTGTCAGCTGTCCTCCATGCACTACTTTGCACTGTAGTCCGTCGTATGAGTTCCGGATAATATTGACAAACTTCTCAGGAACTCCGTAGTGTCGAAGAAGTTTCCATGACGTCCTCCTGTCTACACTGTCAAATGCCTTTTCATAATCAATGAAGTTGATGTACAGTGACGAGTTCCACTTAATTGGTTGTTCGACGATGATCCGTAGTGTCGCAATTTGGTCTGTGCACGACCGATCATTACGGAATCCAGCTTGTTGATCTCGAAGTTGGGCGTCTACTGCATCCTTCATCCGGTTCAGCAACACTCTGTTGAAGACTTCCCCTGGCATTGACAGTAGTGTGATGCCTCTGTAGTTTTCACATTTTCTCAGGTCTCCTTTCTTTGGAATCTTGATGAGGTGTCATTCTTTCCAGTCCATCGGCACTTGTTTCTCCTCCCAAATCTTTTTGAATAGAAGGTAAAGCATGTTTGTAGTTGCTTCGATGTTTGATTTCAGTGCTTCAGCAGGTATATTGTCGGGTCCTGCTGCTTTCCCGCTCTTGATTTGTCTGATGGCCATTCTGATTTCTTCCGTCGTTGGTGGATTGACATCTATACGAAGATCTGTGTGTGCTGCTTCGATGTCCGGTGGATTCATTGGAGCCGGTCTATTCAGGAGTTCCTCGAAGTATTCTACCCATCTGTTACGCTGTTGTTGAATTTCGGTGATTGGCTTGCCTTCCTTGTTGTTGACCGGTCTTTCTGGTTTACTGTATTTCCCTGCTAGTTTCTTCGTTGTATCGTGAAGCTGTTTCAAATTTCCTTCTCTAGCAGCTTTTTCTGCCGTCGTTACTAGTTCTTCCACGTATTTCTTCTTGTCGGCTCTAATGCTTTTCTTCACTTGATTGTTTGCTTCTATTTATTCAGATTGTGCTTGGCCAGAGTCTAAGTAGTTAAAATGACTTCCGTGGCTTCCGAAGGAGCTCGGCTTTCACCATGAAGCGTCATATATCTTCTAAATGAAGACCTTCTAACTCCCAGGCAGAGTTAAAATGGTTTGGATTATTTTTTCTGGTAAACGTTTTTTTAGCAAGTTAGTTTTCTACGGGATGGGGACGCTAACCCCATGCCCAACCCTCCTCCTTTACCCGGGCTTGAGACCGGCAGTAACCCTATAAGAGCTACAGGCGGAGTTCACAGAGAACTTGAGACAAAAATGTTGTGAGTCACAAACATTGATGAATTCAAATCATTGCACTTAACGTCAAAGTTTGCTGGTCAATAGTTTTCTGACGATAGTGGAACAATAAGAAGCGGTTATCACATATCCTTGATGGTGAGCATGTACTCACTGAGGGTATTGAGTTTGGAAGTTTGGCACTTGGAGAGAGTCTAAACAAATCAACACGAAAATAATTACTGAAACTGTATGGCTCGTGGAGTTATTATGGATAACAGTGTGCCATTAATGTGAAGTGTTACATATGAGGTAATCGGTTTTGACAAAATGCCTAATGTGTTTTTGTATCACTGTGCGTCGACGGTATAGTTTTCAAAGAGTAATAGTTTAAGTACACTACATCACTGGCAATAGAAAGAGGCTCCAAAGCACGACATTTATTTTAACCACTTGCATCTGAACTTCATTCAGGTTAATTGCGTCTTCATAGTTTGTCTATACTGAGTTGAACTTTCCTGGGTTAGTTTAACGTATTGTTTACACTCCACTGCTTGTCGTCAAGCAGGTCAACCACACTATCCTCGAGGCTGAGCATGAAATAACTGAGAAAATTCATAATCAACATTTAACAAGGAATGTCAGCATTGATGAACGCGGCAACAATTGACCGGTTTGACATGGCTCAGCCTTGCAGACACGGTTATTATTGTGTTATTCACACATTTCAATATTAAATATATTATTCTATCCCCAGCCCAAGTGTGTTCTTTGTCGTATTGCTGATTATCACGTACCACGAGTCAGTGTAGACAGTGATGAGATTGCCACGTAAAATGAACTGCAACAACCATTGATCTCGTTCAGTTATATTTATTTATTTATTCCGTATTTGTTGGCTCACAGTATGCTTCCCAAGTAGGGTCGTTAAATTGCTATCATCAATAAAAGTGAAAAACAGTGTAGCGACCGAACAACCAATATTCGGATGGAACAACGGACTGACGAACCCAAAATTTATTCGATTGGGTCAGACCACGTTCCTCTGTATAGCTCACAACGCACTTTTGAGATACTCGTATTATATTATATCAAAACACAAACTCTATGCTCAATATAAACGGTTCTAACTCAGAAAACATAACAAATTACATAAAAAATACAAAATACCTCAAACGGTACAACTTGTGCTATACAGTCAGAAGTTTCTCTAACGCAAATTAGCGCTCTAAACAATGAAAGAAACAGTTAATACTAAGGGGTTTGATACCTGAGAATCAATAAAATTATTCCCAACAAGATGGAATCAAATATCTATCCGCAGGGATTCCAGCAACCCTCCCAAGCAGACAATCAAGAGGTTAACAATCACACACTCAACTACGCCGCGACCTTAAGCTTAGTCAAACACGACCTCAATGTCAATGGTCCGGCAACATGCAATGGTAACTGAGGTAACAAAAGTCTTTAATCAAAATCACATAATAAAGGCTCAAACGAGGAGGACTGAAGAACAA